AGACCCGTTCCATGCCTGGTCCATATCCGAACCCAGTCACGCCACAACAAGTGCCAATATGAAAGTTCGAATCTGTTACTACTTCTGCTGCTGCTTCTTGCTCTACTTGTGCTTCTACTTCTACTTCTGCTTGTACTTCTACTTCTACTTTTGCTGCTACTACTACTACTTCTACTACTACTGCTGCTGCTACTATTACTACTACTCCTACTGCTACTGCGACTGTTATTGCTACTGCTACTGCCCCTCCTCGTGCTCCTGCTCCTGCTGCTCTTCCTATTCCTACTCCTGCGCTTACTCCTCCTACTACTCCTAGTTCAACTGCAGCTGCTGCTGCTACTACCATTAGATTATTTTACTGTTATAAGTTATTACTTTGACTCTTACTAGTACTACTGTTACTGCTACTGCTATTTCTACTGCGTCTTCGCCACAGCGAAGCAGCGGGGGCCTGAAGGACGGACCGGGCCTGCGGGCAACGGCTCTTACTGCCTAACGTTGCTTTCTGAACCTACAAGAAAACTAGCTGTCTTCCAGCGGCCAAGGCCCAGAAAACGGCGCCTTCGCCACAGCGAAACAGCGGGGCCCTGAAGGACGGACCGGGCCTGCGGGCAACGGCTCTTACTGCCTAACGTTGCTTTCTGAACCTACAAGAAAACTAGCTGTCTTCCAGCGGCCAAGGCCCAGAAAACGGCGCCTTCGCCACAGCGAAACAGCAGGGCCCTGAAGGACGGACCGGGCCTGCGGGCAACGGCTCTTACTGCCTAACGTTGCTTTCTGAACCTACAAGAAAACTAGCTGTCTTCCAGCGGCCAAGGCCCAGAAAACGGCGCCTTCACCACAGCGAAACAGCAGGGCCCTGAAGGACGGCCCAGAAAACGGCGCCTTCACCACAGCGAAACAGCAGGGCCCTGAAGGACGGACCGGGTCGGCCAAGGCCCAGAAAACGGCGCCTTCGCCACAGCGAAACAGCGGGGCCCTGAAGGACGGACCGGGCCTGCGGGCAACGGCTCTTACTGCCTAACGTTGCTTTCTGAACCTACAAGAAAACTAGCTATCTTCCAGCGGTCAAGGCCCAGAAAACGGCGCCTTCACCACGGCCCTGAAGGACGGACCGGGTCTGCGGGCAACGGCTCTTACTGCCTAACGTTGCTTTCTGAACCTACAAGAAAACTAGCTGTCTTCCAGCGGCCAAGGCCCAGAAAACGGCGCCTTCGCCACAGAGAAACAGCAGGGCCCTGAAGGACGGACCGGGCCTGCGGGCAACGGCTCTTACTGCCTAACGTTGCTTTCTGAACCTACAAGAAAACTAGCTATCTTCCAGCGGCCAAGGCCCAGAAAACGGCGCCTTCACCACAGCGAAACAGCAGGGCCCTGAAGGACGGACCGGGCCTGCGGGCAACGGCTCTTACTGCCTAACGTTGCTTTCTGAACCTACAAGAAAACTAGCTGTCTTCCAGCGGCCAAGGCCCAGAACACGGCGCCTTCGCCACAGCGAAACAGCAGGGCCCTGAAGGACGGACCGGGCCTGCGGGCAACGGCTCTTACTGCCTAACGTTGCTTTCTGAACCTACAAGAAAACTAGCTGTCTTCCAGCGGCCAAGGCCCAGAACACGGCGCCTTCGCCACAGCGAAGCAGCAGGGCCCTGAAGGACGGCCCGGGCCTGCGGGCAACGGCTCTTACTGCCTAACGTTGCTTTCTGCACCTACAAGAAAACTAGCTGTCTTCCAGCGGCC